ACACATGGCCTTATTTTATTTCTTGCTAATATGTGGCCATTTGCAATTGTAATTATCATTATAGTACTATTACTGACACATGACCATTTAAGGAGGTCGGACTCAGATGCTGGCCCAGATTTCAAGGTAAAGCTGCCATGATCTACCACTGAAAGTCAAAGAAGTGAATGAGTTCATGCCACCAAGTAGGACACAGAACAACAGAACTCATGGGCAAGGGTGGCTTCTAGAGCCGTGGAATCAGAAACAATATGAAGCACTTATGAAGCACAACAGCTATAGAGCTTTCCCACATTCATTACATCACTTCATCCTCAGTAACTACTGTGGGGTAGGTGATGTGACACCATTTACAAAGAGGAAACTTGCTCAGGGAAGAGATATGAGTTGCTAGAAGTCACACTGTCACTAAATGGTGGGTTAGGCTTAGAGGCCAGGCCTTTTACAGAGTGTTGAATGTTCCCTCAAAAGAGGAGTCTGATTTGGCTAGGCTACATAAAGCCCAAGAGAGAATACCACCAGCCAGAGGGAGGCAGGCAAAGGGGACTGAGAGGCTCACTCTGAAATTACCTCAGACCACAACTTGGGGTCACTTTGATTAGTGAATCAGAAGCATCAAGTATCAGAACTTTAAGAGAGCAGTCACCATTGTAGCAGTTTTCTACTGCTAGTTATTATTTTTAATTCCCATTTTATCCTTATCATAAATCTTTGACACAAGTATTGTCTCTACTTTCCATATGAGGAAGCCAAGGTTCAGGGGGATTAAATGGTTTGCCTGTTGTCAGAGGGGATCCACACCTCCAGTCACACCCACATCCCTTCCCCTGTGCTAAGCAGTCTCCCTACACTGCTTCCTTTCATGTGATTCCACGATTCTCCTCATTGCCAACTTGTCCTATAGCAATTTCCATTGCTTGGTTAACCTGTCTGTAGGATTTCAAGAGGCAAAGCCTGGCAGTGGCACAGAGTACAGAGGCCTATGAGGTAAGAGCAAAGGTACCGGGAGTCAGAGAGGCCAACTGGGGGCCTGGACACCCTCCCCCTCAGAGAGCATTTGATAGCACACCCCTCTGAAGCTGAGAAGACAGACAAGAGAGTCAGGCCTAAAGAGTCAACAGAAGGACCAAATAAGCCACAGCACCAGTATCCAAGACAGCTCCAGGCCAGGAGACAAGGGTTCAAATCCAGGCTTGGCCACCAGCCAGCTGACCACCTCAGAAAAATCATTTCAGCATTCAGAGTCCTATGTGCCACCAAAAAAAGAGAAGCATATGACCTGTGGGTTCTTATCAAAGAGAGTGTGGAGGAGGTAAAAACAGGAAGAGTATAGCGCTTCTTTCAAAGCAATCCACAGACAGAAGGCAAGCACTATTGCCAATGCATTTGTGGTAACACACACTCTCACTCTGACTTCTAGAACCGCAGTTCATATTCATTTCCAAGAAGGCTCTTCTGGAATCTGTTTCATTAATGAAGCAAAGCAACCATGTGTAGGTTGTGAGGATGCCAATTTATGCCATTTGCTCATGAAGCCTTGCAAGCAAACACCACATATTCCCATCTGGGGCTCTCCCAAGAGCAGGGCTGGCCTGACTTCTCCAGCAAAATGCCAAGCAGCAGGCAACCCCACCAAAGCTCTGAGCCAACCAGCTTCACGGTTGGGAAATTCTTGACTACACAGCTTTCTTATTCAAAAGTTACCAATTCTTGCAATTATTCTCACTCTGAGAATTGTACAGTTAACATTAAGAAGAAAACTGCAAAGGCGAACAGGGTTGAGGTAAGGCAAATGTTGCTTCTGACAAACCCATAGTCACCTGATAGGACTCACAGGTAAAAAAGCAATTCTGCATCTGAGGGTCAGGGTGGAGATGAAACCCACATGTAAATTCATGACGTCAGGCCATAAATGACAGTCTCCCCAGATTTGACTGCAAGACCATAGGCAGCCAAAAGACATGCTTTATTTGGTCTGAAATTGTCTTCCCACTCCCAACCAGGGTCTTCATAACATTTTAATTAGTTGCCAATTCATTTCAACATTAAACATAGGTTTCCACTTTCTCTTAAAAATGAGAATCTGACAATCTTTGGTCCATCTTCCCACCCAGCAACTTGGTCCAGCAACTCAGAGAGCAGACCTTTCATTGGGGCACATACTCCAATTCCCACAGACATACAATTTTTCCTTTTCAAGACTGACATCTGTGGGCATTTGAGTTCATGACTCCTAATTTGGATGAGGCATTGTAGAACAAACACTCATTTTGCATTACTGCACACCAGTGGTCAGGATTTTGGCTATAGGATGCTGGCTTCCCTGAATTCCAAGAGCAGAGAGTGAGAGCCAAAATACCACGACTGAAACACTGGTGGCTACACAACAGCGGTGTTGACCTGGCTACTGTGAGGCACTCAGCCAACTGAGAGGTCTCTCCTGCAGAGACAGGGGTTCACACAGTTGGAAGACACCTTTGTTACCTTATATAACTCTGAAGGCTTAAAAATACAAAAACAAACCCAAAGCTACCTTATACCTTTTCTTCAGAGTTCTGATGAAATACCCATAAAGGGGTGTGATTTTTAAATCCCACCCAGAACTGATAAAAGACACAACAGGTGTGAGTTCTCCAAGGTTAGGTCTAGTCTTGGGCAAAATCATGGAGTTCTTCACTCTCTCTGAACCCCACCTGGAGCGGGGCATTAGATTTTTTTTTTAAAGATTTATTTATTTACGCATACAAGAACTGGGTAGAGGCCAGAGGTGTGAGGGGTGAGAGAGACAGAGTGGGAAACAGAACAGGCAGACTGAATGAAGTACACTGCTAAGGGTAGCAACGGGAGAGTCAGGAAATCTGCTGTGCCATGTGGGTAGCTCCTGGGTTGGGGATCAAACTCATGCTGCAGTGGCTGTGGATTGCTTTATAGTTGACCAGATGACAAGATCAGGGTATAATTAATAGTGCTATTTGTTTCACCTAGCTCTCTTTGTCTTATCCCCTTGCGCCACCAGGGAGGCCGGGTGGGGGTGGGGAGCATTAAATTTTATACCTTGATGTAGAATATCAGTTGTGAGCTTCTCCTCTTGGAGTATTTACACCATAGGATATGAGGTTGTTCCCAGTTAAAAAAGGTTCAGCTATCAAGAGAAAACAAGGAGGGCCTCTACAGGGTCTATGAGAAGATATTCATCCCATATCAAGTTAGCCCTGCTGGAAATTAATTTTTAATGCCTAAATAAATGAATACATCAACTAGTCTAGTGCTGAAAATTCCCACCAATAAACATGTCTTAAAGTGGAGGCATATTCACATCCCCTGTAAAATGCAAAGTTGTCATCTGGCTGACATCTTAATCACACTTAATGCTTTCATGTGTACGTATTATGTAGGATCCGGCTTCTGACAGAATGAATTCTGTCCAGATATTCAGGAATTAAGGATAGCAAATTTGATGGAGGAAAAGGATGGAAAAGTCCAGGACCCCAGGCAACCAGGCAGATCAGAGTGAGACAGCACAATCAGATGATGAGCTCAGGATATAATTAATAGTGCTATTTGTTTCACCTAGCTCTCCTGAAAAAGACTAAAAACCATAGGTAGGTACATTCCCACCCTGATATCCATTTTTCCTTCCTGTCACTGAAATATTAGAGAACAGCATCTGGCTTGCTGTGATAAATAATAAAGATCGTGGTGAGTTATTAAAGGAATGGCTTAAATCTCAGTTTAAAGGGGTCGGGAATTGTGACTTAAAGCTATCACTTTAATACCTATACTAAATGCAGTGTAACACCCCACTTCATTTTCATCTTGCCCATAAATATACACACACAAATGCAATACCTCATCCCAAAAAGATTAACTTTTTTTTTTTTTGGCACCACCTGTTTATTATTTGAGGTCTGTGGAAATAACCTGTCACTTAAATGTATAGAGTATATTACTTTCCTGTTTTTATTTAAATTTTATTTTTATATTCCCCATACAATTACAACCCCCTTATTTTGACCCCAATTCCTCCTTTCCCCACCCCCCCCCCCCCCCATAATGTGTCTCTGGCTCATAGTTGTTTGTTGCTGGAAGGGATCATGCTCAGCAAAATAACCAGAAAGAAAAAGGAAAATACCGGATGGTCTCACTCATAGCAGGAATCTAGAAAACTTAAATAAGGGACCAGGAAAAAGAATAACTATAAGAAAGAAAATACCAAGATTAACATTTTTTTTTTTCTAAAAGCGAGATCAAAGATGTAATCATTTGGGCCTTATGTAAGATGGTGCACACAGTCAAGCTCAAATCAAATCACATTCTAAGAGAAGAGCCCACAGTTTTACATTAAAATCACTATGCAACTCATATAGTAAGAATCACTGCAATGTCAAGCATCTTATCTCCTGATAAGTAAATCGGCTGCTTTCTATGAAGACTGCCTGATAGGAGCCTGTAAGAATGTTTCTTTTCTAGGCATTCATAAAGGGCGGGGGTAGAGGGGAAGTAATCAGAATGCCAGTAATAAGTCTTACCCACAGAACAAAGCAGTCAAAGATACCCTTTAATGTGGAATTGCATCTTTCAGTTTCTGCATCCAAATGTCAGTTGTGCCAGAAAACCTAGTGCAAATAGATTTATGTACTGTATCAAGGGGCAAAGGGGAAAAAATAATTCTAATTATAACCGTGATTGAATGGATGCCTAACAGATGCAAGCAGCACAGATTGGATCACTGAGCTTTATAAAAATCACCCCAATTTTCTTACAGAAAAGTCATCTTGCTTTAAAAACAGTCAAAAGATCTAAGAAGAGGTTACACAGAACCGAGTACCACTCAACGATGTGGTCTTTTCATCGTGCCCAGTGCTTTTCTACCAAGTCATTCACATTCAGCAATGAGCTCTCTCTCCATCTGCCCAGCTTCCCCACTAAACCCAGGCTTCAGGTGGCACAGGAGGCTAGTATTGCCAGGAATGATTGTTAAGGAAGAAGAAGGACCTTACCACTTCTGGGAGCAGCCTCGTTGACAGGTCATGGATGGCTTTGACCACTATACATATGGATGACAGAAGAAATATCACCCCCAAGATGACACAGGCTCTGTAAAGAAACAAAACATTGAGAATCTTAACTGGGAGAACTTTACCCTGCTAATTATAGTACAACAATGATAATGGCACAGCCCAAGGCACTGGGACCCAATCATAACTTGCCATGCTCCCATAGTGACTGCCCATAGTCCCATGATTGACACTGAATCATCTCTAGCAGAATACACTGAGTTTTACCATCAAAGTCAACGTCATAGGAGAGAACTTTACCATACTATATAATCTCACAGCCTTCCATGAGTGCCGGCATGGAAGGGTCTTTAAAGCCACACAATTCATCCCCCAACCTAGCAACACAGCATGTCACTCCTCCTCTAGCTGGAGGGAATACATTTTAATAGGAAGAGTGGCAGCTCTGGCATGAGACATCACAAGCCCTACCTTTGTGCGTGGTCATACTTTGTATGTGATCTTGGTCCAGTGATTGAACTTCTTAGTCTCTACCTATTTTTTTGAAGATTTATTTATTTTTGCATACAAGAACTGGGGTACAGGCCAAAGGTGTGTGTGGGGGTGGTGGTGAGAGAATTCACCAGAGACAGAGTGGGGAACAGAACAGGCAGATTGACTAAAATACACTGCTGAGAGGAGCAGCAGGCGAGCCAGGAGAGGTCTGCTGCGCCATGTGGGTATCTCCCTGGCCGGGGATCAAATCCATGCTGCAGTGGCTGTGGATAGCTTCATAGGTTGCATCTTAATCCCTTGCGCCACTAGGGAGGCCTAGTCTCTACCTATTAAACTGTCAAAAGGAAATAATATTTCCTACCTGAAGATGAAATGAGGTAATACACAGAGGGGAAAAAGAAAAAGTAACTCATTAAGACTGACTTAAGCAAAGGAAAAACCTGTCCTGGATCTCCCTTTCTAGTGATGTGATAAGATGCATTTAAATTTTGCCAGAGGTATAAAAAGAAGAGTGATTTGGTAGTAACAAAGATGGAATGTCTGTGGCAAGATGGAATGATCCTAAAAGAAGAAATGAGATAACCTCTTTATTTCTGATCGCAGAGCTAAGAGAACAAGAAGAGAACGTGGTGGGGGAATGTTCGGGCAGTGGTGGAGGGAGAGTATGAAAGCATACATTTGGAAAGGTTTGAATTTTTACATCCCAAAGCATTTACAAAGATGTAAACCTACTTTACCTTAATAAACATAATTTTGGGGAAAAAATATAAGAGGCAAGAAGGAAAAATGAAGTCAACCAAGACAACCAGCACAGAAGGAGACAGGAACAAGTTAAGGATGAGGCCAAGGGAGAAGCCACATAGTCAGGACAGCCAGCCAGGGGAGGAAGGTAGAGGCCAGCAAGGGTATCTTTGAGGATATGTAGGGATGTAGGAGATGCCTCTGGCAACCAGACACTACAAGCTGCAGGATAAAGATGGAAAATGAGAGTTAACATAAGGAAATGGTGATAGTAATGCAAGGTTCAAAACAGCAAATGAAAAAATGTAGCAAAGAGGAGGAAAGTACAAATGACTATAATTAACTCTAGATTATTCCAGCCTCACCTGATATCTCCACTTCTTGGCAGTCTTCTCAGCCATCTTCCCCTGGCTACCACATAAAATCATTTATCATCATCAATGTTGAATTCCCTTCTTTGAACTAATAGCACTGCCCCAAATTAACCAGATTACACTGACCACCTAGTTAGAATCCTAACTGGCCTGGGGTATGTTCCCCGAACTTAGAAGTCAGATAACCAAGACCTCTTGGAGTCCACTCAATAGCTGTTTAACCCACATACTAATGATCAGTGTTACTCTTTCAAAAACAGACAGAAAAGATCAGTGCAGGTTTGATGAAACACAAAAGGATGCAGAGAAGTAGGAGAACCAATGAATGTGCTGGGCTCTTTGTAAGACTTGAGCATCGGGAAGTCCTGGCCCTATAAACCAAGTGGATGTTCCACCGTGGTCCCATACATCTCATAATGAGCCTGGGAGAAAATGAAAATACACTGAAGGGGAAGAAAAGATAATTAAGGCAGTAAGTACAGACTGATACTGCAGCAGGAGTGAAGAATGCGAACATGAAGCAGTGAGGCTGCGACTGGGGCTCATGGTCCTGGCAGGGCTCTCAGGGAAAGGAGGGGGGCCGTCGAGTGGGAGGCATCCAGGAGGGAGGTGCACCTACTCTGGGCTATACAGTAAGGAGACACTATCACAAGATCAGGGATATCCATGGCTTGGTGGATGGATGCTCTCAAGCGAGAGTCCCACCCATGTCCACGGGACAATGGTTATGGGGCAGCCATGCCCAGCTCTAGAAGTAACCAATTCTAGCTGTGAGCAAGTGGACCCTTTTCCACAAAAGGAAAAGGGCTTTAAGTCAGTACCGGCTTCTAAGATAAGTTTTTGTGGTGTGGTTTGTTTTCCCTCCATTCAGAAAAACTGAGTGACTGAAAGACTCTTTGATTCATCCTTTCAGGCAAATTTAACCCTGAGGGTACTCTGCTTGGGGAATTTCTAAACAAGCCCAGAGCCAGCTCCAGCTCAATCTTACCAGAATTTCGGGGGTGGGGGGCATGGAGGAATGTAGAACCTAGGCATCTGCTTTTGCTTAAAAGCAACCCAGGCAATTTCTATGTGCACTAGAATTGAAAGTCTCAGGTTCAGTCCAGGAAAAGTCCCGTCTTGAAGAGGATTTCAGGATTGGGAAAGAAGCACAAAACTCCCCTGGACAGAATGCAGGGGGAACCACCCATCCCAGCAGGTGAGGAAGCAATGGGGTTTAAGGGTCCCCAAGAGACCACACAGTGCCTGTGTCTACTGAGCAGCGTTCTCCCCAAGACCTAAATAGGTGTCAGACCTTCTGCCAGCAGTTTTCATAATATCCAGAAGAAGCCTCCCTCTCCAAACGCTTCTGGACAGAAAAGCAACAAATGTCTGAGCTTCTTCCTAGCAGGGAATAGTGATGTTACAAGAATCTTTCCCCAGAGCACTGCAGGCATGCCTCCATAATGCATGAACAAGCTGATCTGGATCCTCTGCACCTGAAGCATATTCTTTACTACTTGTGTCCAAGTATAAAGGATCAGTGATCTCCCACACAGCATCTGGCTTATATATCTTTAATATCTTTAATCAAAACTACATACAATTAAGGACAAGAACAATGTTTTTATATCTTGGCATCCACAGCAGCACATAGCAGGGGCCCCATATGCTCATGGAAAGTGGATGTAACAATTAGCTAAGTAAGTACTAACTGATTTGTAAGTTTCCACACTACCCCCTCCCCGGAGTTTAAGGGACATCAGCTATCTACCAGTGGGGATGGGAGAAGGAAAGAGAAGCCTAATACTTTAGCCAAATGGTGAAGGAATAGCCTACATTGTACATCTCTCAAATACAAAGAAAATTTAAAGGAATTGATTTAATTTATTAAAGTTGAGTGGTACAGAACTATAACCATGATTTTTTCCCCCCAGTTATACCTATGAATATGCTCAAAAATGTTTTCAAAACCTATTTTCATCTTCTTCTAAATGTGCTTCAAGAAACCCAGTCACCCTTCCTTCAACACTGTCAGGACCCTCTGGTAGAGCTGCTCCCAGCCTAGAGCAGTTATTATTAGCAGAGGGTGTGATGCTATTTTTTTTAACACGTTATTAATAATATATTGTGTTTACACAGCAGCTCTTTCCTCGGGCACTCAGAGTTCCACACAGCAGCTCACAAATGCCCTGGGGGCCACTGACCAGACCAGGGCTTTTGATTTTCTACTATTTTATATATTAGGATGGAGAGAGGTATATTTCTTAAGCACAAGGAGTCAAAATGGGGGAGTCAAGGATTAGGAGCATTGCCTTAGGCCACTCAAGGAGTTTGAAGTTGGCCCAGAAATAAAACCTCGATTTCCTGACCCCCTCCCTAGTAATGCACACTCGGTCAATCATTTGAAGGCTCTTGACACTCATGTCACATCCTCACATCATCGCCACCTGGGGTTGTAGCAGTGTGCAGGATGTATAAAAGATTTGGGTCAGGAGCAAATACTGCAAAAAAAAAAAAAAAAAAAAAAAAAAAAAAAAACAGCTGCTTCTGAATCTGCAAGTGTGTGCTACTTGCAGGTTATGGGGGTTGGGGAAGGAGACGGAGGTGCAGCCATACCAGTACACCCTAGCTTTCACTGCAGAAGCTGGCCTGGCAAATAAAGAGGGCATTATGTCCATGGGCCGACAGCAGTGATGGGCCAGGTCACAGAATGAATACCCTTTCTCCCTTCTGCCAGAGGAAGAAAACCCTGAGTCAGAAAGAGGCAAATGAACACCACCCTCTTTGATGTACCCACCAATCAAGTCTGACTGAAATTGAATTTAAATTCCCAGAGGATCAGGGGTTGTCAAAAGTGTGGTCCATGGATCAGCAGCATCACTAACCTGGGAACTTGCTAGAACAGCAAATTCTGGAGCCCATTCCAGACCTGCTAAATAGGAACTCTATTTTGGTAAGTCTTTCAGGTGGTTCTAATGATCACTACCATTTGAGAACCACTATATTAGTCTTGCCAAAGAGACATTTAATATATGAAAGAAGATTGGCAAAATCCAAAGAACTAGTTAAAGTGACTGGCATCTGTTGTTGCTGTTTTCTACTAAAGGGTGTAAACTGATCATTGTGCATGTTGTTATAAATCCATGAATAACATCGTAGGAAATATTAATTTTTGCCTCTGAAATTATAAGGGCAAAATAAATTGACAACTCTCACATCCAAAATGATGTCAGGTTGAAAGACTGGTCCCTTGTCAATTATAGGTTTAAAGGCCTGTGGTTCACATTAATAAAGCCTGACTCATCATACCAATTCTAAGTTATTTTCCAAAGAGAAGTTTTCTTCTAAACATCCCTCACTAAGCAAAGACCTACAACACAGTAGCCCTGGCAATCCATCAATTCAGTCCACAGCTGAAAGTGTAAATGTTTGATTTTCAACTTTTACCTTAGTGTCCACGCACTTGTAATCTTAGGACATCATTCAA